GTGGAGAGGTACGCTTAAAAATGGTTATAGCAGTCTGATACTACACTACATCCAAGTGCAGCCAATGCAAGCATCAGTCCATGGTTACCTGGAAATACAAATAAAATTGAAACTTTCATCATAGAAATTCATGAAGCACTGTATTAAAGTCCCAGGACATGCACGGAATGTAGTAGGCACTCAAAATGTTAATCCCCTTTTGTTAGTTTCCTTACCATTCTAGCAAACCCTAGAGCATTAAAATTATAGCACATTGCTGGGCATGGTGGCACACACCTGTAATCCCAACAACTCAGGAGGCTGAAATAGAAGGATCACAAATTTGAGGCCAGTCTCAGCAACTCAGTGAAACCCTGTCTCAAAATGTAAAAATTTAAATATATATATAACTCATCTGTAAAGCATCTCTGGGTTCAATCCCCAGTACCAAAAGCAAACAAACAAATAAAAAAAAGCCTACCTACCACCACCAAACAAAGATTCTGCACAGAAAAACTAATTTGAATGTTTTATATCCCAGCTTCATGAATTAGTAATTCACTTCCCAATAAAAAGCACTTTCTAGGGGCTGGGGCTGTAGCTCAGTGGTAGAGTGCTCACCTAGCATGTATGAGGCACTGGGTTCGATTCTCAGCACTGCATAAAAATAAAAATAAAGATATTGTGTCCAGGGGCTGGGGTTGTGGCTCAGCGGTAGAGCACTCGCCTAGCATGTGCAGGGCCTGGGTTCGATCCTCAGCACCACAAAAAAATAAATAAATAAAGATATTGTGTCCAACTAAAAAATAATAGATATTTTTAATGTCCAATCACACAACTTGCAGCAATAGAGCTAGAACTAAATTCCACTCTGATCCCTCACCTTAGCTTTGACCTTATTATTGTTTCCATTTAAAGACCTCAGCAAACTGATATTGTTTGCTGATTGGATGTTTGCTTCTTTTTTTAATATTTATTTTTTAGTTGAAGTTGGTCACAATATCTTTGTTTTATTTATGTATTTCTATGTGGTGCTGAGGATTGAACCCAGGGCCTCACACGCACTCAGTGAGCGCTCTACCGCTGAGCCACAACCCCAGCCCTTGGCTGTTTGCTTCTTTATGAATGTTTCCACACCTCTCCCTCCTACTCTCTGGAAGCCTTAAACTTTCTCTATTTAAAATGGGGAGGGGAGGGGCTGGGGATGTGGCTCAAGCGGTAGCACGCTCGCCTGGCATGCGTGCGGGTGACCCAGGTTCAATCCTCAGCCCCACATACAAATAAAGATGTTGTGTCCACTGAAAACTAGAAATAAATATTAGAAATAAATATTAAAAAATTCTCTCTCTCTCTCACTCACTCTCTCTTTAAAAAAGCTGATAAATATTAGAAATAAATATTAAAAAATTCTCTCTCTCTCTCTCTCACTCACTCTCTCTTAAAAAAAAAAAGCTGATATGCTTCTTTCCCTCTTATAAAAAAAAATGGGGAGGGGAAGCAGAAGGTTTTAAATCTCAGATTTTGTTTCATTTTCCTCATTATGAAAGACCACAGCCAATCTCTCAGTATGTTTATGTCCTCCCTCCCTCCCTTTCTCTCTCTCTCTGATTTACCACACAACTTATAATGCTCCCTCTTTGCTGTTACCACTAACCAACTAGCAGGCAAATTTGTTTCCTGCAGCTCCCTACTGCATCAAGAAAGAAAAGGGAGTCATATCTTCTCCACAGGCAAGAGGGATTCTGGGTTAAGGTTTTGTTTCTACTAGATAGAGTCAAGTGGCCCAGGTCACATTTTCCCACAGAACCACCCCCCTGAATGGGCAGGTTCCTGGTTTTACATGAAGCAGAAAGGCAGCACTGGCAAAAGCTGAGCCCTCCTTCCTGCTTCAGAACCCTGCAGAATCCTGCTTCAGGTTTTAGGAATAGAAATTTCCCCAAACAACTCCCTTTACATGAGTTCTTGAGGCAAGGATCATTTTTATCAGGGGACCAACCCCTGATCCACCTAAATGGGCACTGGGCCTCAATTCCCCAGAGTGAAAGAGTTTTAAATCTATTGTTTGGTGGTCTTATCCCAAAAAGGCAAAACAGCTGGGCATGTTGGTGCACACCTATAATCCCAGTTACTGAGAAGGCTTTTGGGATCTCTTCTAAATCCCAAATTCAAGGCCGGCCTGGGCAACTTAGTGAGAATTTCTTTCAAAATAAAATTTTTAAAAAGGGTCTGGGGATGTAACTCAGCTGCCCTAGTATTCATGCAGTAGCCCTGAGTTTAATCCTCAGTACTCAAGGAAAAAAAAAAAAATGCTGGGGGTGAGGGACATTCCAATTCTTCCCCCTTCCCAGTCTTTTCTTCTGTAATTCATATTCAACCTAGCCTATGGCTTTTCAAATGCCACTAATGACTTACTCTATTATTAGGCTCAGGAAATCCTGAGTTCTCCTATAGAGAGAACAGATTCCCCATGATGTTTCTTTCTGTCTCTATCTCTGGTTCATTACTGGCACCATCAACCCAATCCCAGATCACTGAGCCTATTCACCTCAAAGAAGAGGGTGGATAGGCAGAAATACCTTACTGGGAGGAAGGAGCCTTATGGAGGAAACAGGGAGAAACTATGCTTGGGAAGGAGTACAAGGGCCCAGAAAGCCTGTGCTGTGTTGTAGTCACCCCTGAGGAGGCATGGGCCTCTGCTTAGTTTTTGCTGACAACCCTTATGTCCCTTTCCCTCCAGTATTGGGTATTTCTCCAGGGTAATGTCTCCTGCTTCTTTCCTTCTCCCCCTACATGTTCTGCTTATACATGTTCTGTTCAGCCATCCACAATTTCCTAATAGAGCACTATTTAGGATAGGACAATTCTTTATTGTGCAGGACAGTGAATCCAATAAATTCCAACAAAATCTATCAGCTGTTGCCCTCAATCATTGTGGCAACCAAACCCCCTGATACATTTCCAAATATCTCCTGGGGAATGGGTGCAGTATGCTCAGTAGAGAAACAAATGACTCCTAAGTCTACATCACCAGCCCTGTGATGTAGGTGCATTCCTGTATCCAAGGGAACCACTCAAAGTTAACCTGTAATCTGTCATGGAAACATCTTAAACTCAAATTTTCAAAGCTAATCTCATTATTTTAATCTATTCTTCTGACTAGTAAATTACTCACGCACTTGCAAGTCTTAAAACTAAACCTGGGAGTCCTCCTGGTTATGCCCCTGAACACTTTTACTATGTACCAGTCCCACAACTGCACATAAAATTCTCATGTTTTTTAGAGCCGTTAGAACACAGTCACCTCAACCCAATCCCCATTCTAATCAGAGTGGGTCTTAATGCAAAACCAATGGAGGAAATTTAAGGTGAGCTCCCTCTTAAAGGGGGGTAGTCTGCCTGAGAAGTGGGAAAGCATGAGTTTAGGAGTGAAGGCAAAGCAGAACCTGGGGTTGTAATTCTATGGCTTCTACTTATTAGGTGCATGGCCTCAAGCAGGCTCTGAACAGATAGAGGGCCAAGGGCTAAAGGCCACTCCCAGTGAGACCTTTACTCATTGCCATGACCATCAAAGCCCTCACATTGCTACATTGTTTACTTCAAAAGTTTACTTCTTATCTGTCTCCCTCAGTAAACTTGGGAGCTTTCTTCCTCCAGCGTTCTGGTCCAGTGCCTGGCACATGGAAGGTAACCTCTTATAAATGTTTGAAGGACTGCATCTGAAATCACTCTAAAGCTATATAAAGTAGTACCAATTTCCCTTCCTCATAATGCCTGATGAGGCATTTATTGTAATAAACAGTAATAGTGTCACTTTAATTCAGGACCTTGGATGGAGACTACAAAATGAGAGGAAACAGCATTAGAATGGGGGTTTGAACATCTGAATTCTTGTCTTGGCTCTGTTAACTAACCAAGCCTATCAACTTGGGGATGGCACTTTCTTCAACAGAGGAAATGGAGAGAATCCTTCAGATAAGGATTCTTAACACAGATAGAAGGGAGATATACAGGGCATTAAAGGGAGTCTTGAACAAAACTACCACCAAACTCAGTCTGTTTGCATTCTTTAGAGAGACCATCACAGATTCTTAAACTGTCAATTACTATTAATCTTGATAATCTTCTGAGTCTCTCCAATTTAGATCCTGGTGCATGTTCTTTGAAGGGAAGAAAGTGCTTAGGAGCAATAAAGATGGCTGATACCTGTCCACATGCCAAATGCTATCCCAGACCATTTGAAATGGACTTTGTCAATGGAACTGTGGCATGACCACTGGGCTGATTCAGCAGCTCCCTGAACTTTGGTCCCCTTAGCAGAGGGCAGAAGTCAGGGTGTAAAGAACAGATGTATACAGAAAGTTCCTAAAAGGTCAAGGGAACCAGATCAAAGAGGCAAATCACTGGAAAACGAACTAAGGGCGATTATCTACACTGCCAGCCAAAGCTATCATTTTCTGAACACTTAATAAGTGCTGGGTATTCTCAAGATCATAATAATCCTGCAGGGGAGGTTTTTGTCAGTCCCACACAAAGGAGAGTAAATTGAAGTTTCACTCATTTTTTTCTCTTTCTACCCTGTGCTCTACCCAGAAGAGCAGTTCTGGGCAGGTCCTAATCCAGGCAGCATTCTTGCATCTCTTCTGAAAAGTGCAATGGCAAGAGTGTGGACTATGAATCTGCAGCTGGAAAAGTGCAATGAATCTGCAGCTGGCAAAGGAGGGGAAAGGCTTCAATTCATTTGCAACAGTCCTGGATATAGGCCACGTGCCAGTCACGGGGCTAAGTTCAGAGAGGCACAGACAATATTCCTGCCTTAATGATAACCGTTAACCACTAATCACTACCTCTACCCCACCCCCACCCTCACCCCCACCACCACTTTAACCCCTGTGGTAACCAGCTCAACAAACACCTAAGGTGAGGGGCCTTTGCTAGGCTGGAACTGGAGAGCTGGGACCTGCTGGGCTCAGAGAGGAGTGAGGAAGGGTCGAGTAGGCTTCCCACCCTCCTTCCTCTTTTACCAAGCGAATGTCCCCAGGTCCGTGCACAACAAGGGAGAGGTTCTCGGGCTGGGCCGCCGTCGCCATGTCACTCTCTAGCTCCCGTGTGGTACTGGAGTCTGCAGGGCCTCTGGCTGTACGGGTCCTGTGGATGGTTCTGGTCTTTGCCCTGCAGAGGGTCCGGGGTTAGAAGTGGGAGGTGGGGCCTGGGCTCGGCGGCGCGCGCCGGCCGGGGGCGGAGCCTTTTCGTTCTTGACAGCCGGGGCGGGGCTGGCGTGCAGGGGCGGAGCTGCCAGCTCCCTCAGAACCACCAGCTGGAGAGATCCGCGAGGCCCCCTGCCTCTGTCTGCACTGTTCTTCTGCTTGGCTCAGACTTTGCTGCCCTGAAAGCAGCCTACGGAGTTAAAGCCAGCAAACCGGCATGCTCAAACGCTAGCTGAGGAAAAATGGGCACCAGGAATTTGGGGAGCTATTGAGAATGCAGATTCTCTTGGCCAGTACGGAGATTCTTATACAGTAAATCTAGTGAAACAGGCGCTATACTGATGGCAGTATCCATGTTGGCGCCTTGTCCCCTGTGCCCAGCACAGAGTCTCTCATCAAGGCATAAGTGAATGAATTCGTGCATCATACTATGGGCCTGATTTATCCCATGGGCCTGATACATCTTTATAAAGAAACAGAAATTGTGAGAACCTTTCTTTTTAACTGCACTGCTGCTTCTATTTGAAGAAGAGTTGAGGCACAAACTCAAGCTCCTTCAAGGTCTCCCCTCTCAGGGACACAGTGAGGGTTAACTCTCTGGGAGGGAGCCCCTTCCTGGCAAGCCCGGCTATAAAGTACTCCTTTGAGGGCATTGTCAGGACTTCATTCCTCCCTGTTTCAGCCACACTACCAATCTTCTTATCTCTTCCAGAGGACTTTCCCCAGAGCTGCAACCCTCGAAGATGTCTCCCTGTGGCACTGACCACATGCCCAACCTGTGGAATACAGCTTGTACTTTCACTGAGTGTTACCCCTTCCCCAGATGCACTGGAGGTCCACTGAGGGAAAGACCTCATTTTTTTAACCAGAACCAGGGAAAGTGTTCTGTACCATGCAGAAACTTAAAAAAGCATTTGATGATGATGATGGATCAATAATGATAAAAAGGGAAATGTGAGGCTCAAGGGAGAGGATGCAAGGTAGAGAGTGTTACACGGTTTAACAAAACAGTTTTATTTCATTTGGTTTGCATGGAACTATTCACAGAATCAGGTCCATTGATTTGAGAGACCTACTACAAGGTTTAGCTGTGCTTGGCTGGGTCCTCCAGCAACTCCTGCATTTAGCAGCTAAGCAGGTCTTTTGTAGAGAGATGAGGCTCAGGACTTCATTCCCTCACTGAATTCAGAACCCAGCTTCCCCTGCTTGTCTTGTGGGGTTCCCTTGCAATCTCCCAGGCATGTGTTCTGATGGGTAAAGCTAAAGGAGAAGGCACCAGGAATGACTTAAGAACTCAGGGCTGCTTGAAGTAGACATTTCTTGACTTAAATTATGAAAATAAAACAACTAAAACCAAAGCAGTGTTCTCTAGAATAAGAACACAATTACACACTTATAGTGGTGTTTGTTTTCTCCTGAGCAGTGACACTTTGAAAATATCTTGAAGGTTTGTGCCTAACTGGGGGCAGAGATTTGGAGGGCAAAGAGACAAATATTCTATGACTAGAGCTTTTCATAAGAAAGGTACAGGGTGAATTGATAAGAATTAAGAAAGTGATTTTTTTCATTTTCAAATTCAGAAATTTATTCAACTCACAAGCTTTATATAGCTTTAGTTTAAAACAAAAACAGTGGAACCAAGATATCATTTCAAATCTGAGCCCTCCAAGCCTTACAAATATAAGAGCTCTAAAAGTTATATATACCAATTGCAAGAAAAAGACAAAAATCTAAATGGAGCCATGACAGTTCATAAAACAAAATTTAATGTCTTACCTGGGACTAGTTAATTGCATTATAAAAGGAAGAAGAAAGAAAAAAACCCCAGAAGAACAGAATGGAATAAAATTCTGGTATTCTGAATCAACTTGTTATATATCAATATAAGTCCACAGTATCCTGGTGAACAATATGCTTTCCTTTTTCTGCCTCATTTTCAAGCTTGAATTCTCAGTCGTTTCAGCAGAAACTCTACAAGCAGTAGGAAAGATTGTAGCATTAAAATATTCTTTTGCAGTGGTAAAGTGCTTGTCTAGCATATATGAGGCACTGGGTTCAATCCTTAGTGCTACATAAAAAAATAAGAAAAATAAAAAATAAAGGCATTCTGACCATCTACAAACTACAAAAAAAATTTAAAAATATATTCTTTGGTACTTTTGTGGTAGTTAATGGTGGTCTTAATTCTAGACAAGCTTACAAATTATACAAGGTTAGAAGCATAACTTAAGTGATGCTAAAACTCAAATGAGAAAAGAAAAAAAAAGAAACTTCTGGGAAGAGCTAAGAGCACTTAAAGAAGTCATAAGAATGCCACCATTAACAACAACAACAACAAAAAAGGCAGGAGCAGTGGCACATACCTGTAATCCCAGTAATTTAGGAAACTGAGACAGGAGAATTGCAAGTTCAAGTCCCTAAGTAACCTAGCAAGACCCTGTCTCAAAATAAAAAATAAAAAAGGCTGATGTAAATCAGTGATAAAGCACCCTTTGGTTCAATTCCTGTTACCAAAAAAAAAAAAAAAAAAAAAAAAGGAAATATTTCATTCTAAGTAAATTTAAGAATCTGATTTTTTAAAACAAAAAAGCAAGTTGTTATAATGTTTAAACTACTTGTGACATTTTAACATAATTTCTCATCAGAGGCCAGCATTGGTAATAATGAGGAGCAGACATTTTACTAAATAAGCCTTAGAATGTTGTCTTTTCCTTTGTTGGTAACCTGTTTGGACAGCTTTTCTGGGCCCCTACTTCATTTTCCCAAATATCACAGTACTTTGAAACACTGTCTCTACTAAATACAGCTTTAACAAGTCGTTGGTAAATTTCTGCTGTGAAATCTTATTTGGAATCTAAAAAAATCATACTATCCTCTGGGGCCACATATCAAGAAGAAGGGAGAGTAACTTGTCACCACAAATACTGGGCTATGATAGGTCTGGATTACATAGTGTACTAACAAGAAAAACCAGTGTGCCCAGAGGTCCTAGGTGTTCCAAAGTAGAAAGGTTGACTCCCAAATTTTGATTTCTGAAGTAACTAACAGGATGAATAAAGATGATATTATCTAATATGGGCAAGACTAAGGTAAAAGGATCAGATTTGTGAAAAAGATCAGTTGTAAAATCTTGATTTCTAGCTTTTTCCATGGAGTCATCAACTGTGCAATTACTCAAACCCAGTTATTTACAACAATAGAAAGAAAGAAGCAATAAAAACATCAACAGAAGGACTGGGGTTGTGGCTCAGCAGTAGAGTGCCCACCTAGAATGGCCCTGGGCTTGATCCTTGGCACCACATAAAAATAAATTAAATAAAGGTATTGTGTCCAATGACAACTAAAAAATAATAGTATTTTTTTTAAAGTCAACAGAAACCCAGAAAGTTTCTTACAGAACTTGAAAAATAATTATCAATGAAAGTTAAATTAGTAAAAATCTCTATGCAATGAATGAGATTAATAGAGGTCATCCTTAGGAATTATTAACATAACTTTCGCTAACAAACCTAGAGTAAAACCTTAGAAAGGGTTAGGAAAATAGAATAAGAGAGCATGAAACAAAATAAGCCAATCCCAAAGAATCAAATGCTGAATGTTTTCTCTGATATGTGGATGCTAATCCATAATAAGCAGGAAGGGGTGGGGGTGGGCCTAGGGAAGAATAGAGGTACTTTGGATTAGACAGAGGGTAGTGAAGGGACCGGGGGTAGAAATGATAGTAGAGAGTAGATAGAAGAATGTAACTCTACATCATGTACAACCAGAAGAATGAGAAGTTATACTCCGTTTATGTAAGATACGTCAAAATGCATTCTACTGTCATGTATAACTAATTATAATAAAATTTTTAAATGCAGAGAGAGAGAATTTGGTCTAGAACTATCCAGGAGAGACTGGTGCTTGGTGGCAGTGGGACAATGTTGATGGCACAGGAAAAATGGAAGCAAAGAGACCAATTAAAGGTTATTGTTGGGCAGGGGATATAGTTCAGTTGATATAGTGCTTGCTTTGCATGCACAAAGCCCTGGGTCCAATCCCTAGCACCACACACACACACACACAAAAAAAAAAAAAAAAAAAAAAAAGAGCGGTGGCCAGCTGGGCTCTGAGCAGAGCAGGGTCAGGATGGACAAGGACATGTTGACCACCCTGAAGATCCTCATCATCGGCGAGAGTGGGGTAGGCAAGTCCAGCCTGCTCTTGAGGTTCACAGATGATACTTTTGATTCAGAACTTGCAGCAACAATAGGTGTTGACTTTAAGGTGAAAACAATTTCAGTGGATGGAAATAAGGCTAAACTTGCAATATGGGATACTACTGGTCAAGACAGGTTTAGAACATTAACTCCTAGCTATTACAGAGGTGCACAGGGTGTTATATTAGTTTATGATGTCACAAGAAGAGACACATTTGTTAAATTGGATAATTGGTTAAATGAATTGGAAACATACTGTACAAGAAATGACATAGTAAACATGCTAGTTGGAAATAAAATTGATAAGGAAAATCGTGAAGTTGATAGAAATGAAGGCCTGAAATTCGCACGAAAGCATCCCATGTTATTTATCGAGGCAAGTGCAAAAACCTGTGATGGTGTACAATGTGCTTTTGAAGAACTTGTTGAAAAGATAATTCAGACACCTGGACTCTGGGAAAGTGAGAACCAGAATAAAGGAGTCAAATTGTCACACATGGAAGAAAGCCATGGAGGAGGAGCCTGTGGTGGTTATTGTTCTGTATTATAAACTCTGGGAAATTCCATCTCTTGCATATTTGATCAGATAGTGACATCTTTCTGTATATAAACTTTAACTGCTATTTTAGGCACCTTGCAGTTTGCACATAATTGTTTTGTATCATGGCAGTAAATATTTGCAAAGAAATCCTACTCATCGGCTCTCCCAGGTAAAATGTTATGGTACGCATGCACAGTTTGCAATCTACAGTTTTATATGTAACATAAAATAGGTGTACCTTTATGAGTACATTTGATTTTATG